TGCCCGTCATTATGTTGCCCCATTTTTCAGGTTGTGTGTCATGGCCATCATGAAAATCCTTGTCACAACCCACACCTGCCGAGGAACCTTGTCAAGGGGCTAACAGCAAGGTAGGGGTAAGGTCTGCGTACACACTACCCTCCCTAGACCCCACGGTATGGGATAATACTGGGTATGTTGTTGTTGTTGTTGTTGTATGTTTATCGGAATTAGGAAAATAATCCTGAAATACGATTCAGCAGTAATTTTTTACTGCAATTTGTTAGTTTTTCTGTATCTTGTAGTAGAAGTTATACCAGTAGAATTTTCTTCCGCAAATCCGATATTATTCTATGCCAAATCGAACATGAGTTAACTTATACGGTGTTGGCGTTCAGAGATAAAAATGTTAACTTTTATATTATGCATGCACCATATAGAAATAGAAGTATTGTAATGTAATAAAACAAGCATTTACCACAAAAATAATACACACTAAAAATAATCCAAAAATTACTATTTTAGAATTATAATCTCTGCATCGTATAAATTTTTTCATGAATCAAATGATCGCTAACAACAACAATAGTCACGTCATTTGTTGAAAAGAAAATGATAGTGTATAAATCATGGAAATCAAATGACCGCTAAATATTTTTTTAAATATATTTTGTGCAAGTGGGCCTTATAGCTGACATTGAGATTGGGCTAATAGTGGGCTTGAGCCCAGTAGAAGATTCTACTATATGTCAGTCCAGTAATGTGGTCGGACTTGAAAAAACAAGTGGTGGGGATTGAGAGGACGGCACGAGACTACTTTCGCCAATGCTTCTACGCCAATAGAAAAGTATTTCAAAAATTTCCCATTTTCAGAAGTTTCTAATTTTGCAGAAATTTTGAGAAGAAAAAGAAGCTGAAGCATTTGAATTCAATTCAAGTTTGTAAAATTCGAGGATGATTTATAGGTCAAATCATCTGCTATTAGAGAGTCCACTGTAAAGTGTTAAAGACCAGTATGTGCCCGGGCTCGGACTCGGTTTCGGACTCAAAGTCGGATCCAAACTCAAACGGGTGGAGCCGAGCTCGTGGAGCGGTTCTCAAGTCGCTGGTGCTTATCGGAGGCGCTTTATTGGTACGGCGGCTCACTAAGTCGACCACACGTTGGGACCATGCTCGAATTGTCGCACAGTCACTTAGCGGTGAGAAGGTAGTGCTTTTTGCTACGTTATTGGCTTTTCTATTTCTGCTACTGTTGCTCCTCTGGAACTGTGAAGAAAGTGAGAATAACTGACTTTTTCGAGTTTTATTGTAGTTTTCCAAGGAGCAAGCTGTTAGGGATCCTGATAATTACTTTAATTTCAGGTATTATATTTTTCGTTTATAATTTTCATTATTTCATGTTTTTATTTTGGATTTGCGTAGAAATATTGCTGCCAAATTAGCTTATCAGGGAGAAGGTTTAGCTAAAAACTGTAATATGTGTTGAATCTTATCAATTTGACTTTCTTAAGACGAAATTAGCCCGAGCTAGTCTGAGTTGAGGCTTAGTAATTGATAAATAGAGGTGTAGAAGGAGGGAAAAAAACATTAAGTAGTTATATCTTGTCCATTTTGTATGCTGTTGCTTGATTGGCCTGCAAAGTTACAATCTTTAGGAACGATAATTTGGATAGCAATCTTCCTATGACCGTGTCAGGCATGTAAGCATGCTTCTCTCCAGAAGTTTTGCTTCTGGAAGCATATGATCATCTCTTGATATAGAAAAAAATTTGGTCGAAGTTCTGGTATTTGAAAATTTTCTTTTATTCAACTTTCATGTTTTTCTGTGTATAGATGGCTTTCCTGTCCTGCTGCTGACATGGTAGATGGCTCTAAAGTTTTATATTTTGAACAGGTACGTCTATATCTTGCTTTGGTTTCTTCCTTCATGCTTCTGGTTTGGACCCATGAAAGTCGATTTTATAATGGAACTTCTTTTGTGTTGTAGGCATTTTGGCGGACACCCCATAAACCCTTCCGACAGGTGAGTATCCAATATTATTTTCTTTTTGTTCTTGTTATAATCAAGACTGTTGCATTATAGGCCTGCTACCTTAATTTAAGTTTCTTTGTTCTGTTGCTTTGGTTGCTGAAACCCAGAAAATCATATAAGATGACATCACAGTAGCTATTTTATTTTAGTTGCTCTTATAGTTAAGAGCACTCAGCTCATTCAATTCTAATATAACATTCTGTTGCAGAGGTTTTTCATGATCAAGCCTTGTGCAAAGGAGCTGAAATGTGATGTTGAGGTTGGTCCCAATTCATAATTTTCTGTGGTCGGAATTTTCTCTAAATTCTACTATTCTACTCCCCTTGCTAAGCCCCTTCACACTTTTTGTTTGACACGAGTGGCATAACACTTACTAGTAATCTAGTATTAATTAAATCACCATTTCTTTTTGCATTATGTATAATAATGTGATTGGACACAGTTCTACTTCCCTTACAAGCCTGTTCTCATGAATTATTACTCGTTTCAACTCTATGATGGGTGTGGGTGTGGGTGTGGGTGAGAGGATGTTTGGGTGTCTTTAAAAGTAGCATGAAGGTGGTCTGCTGGTTGTTTAGGAAAATACTTGCGCTGATTGTAGTGGGAATGATATACCTTTGGTCTAGTATTCATGCTAATAAATTCTAGTTCCTTTTAACATCTCTACTCTCAGTATCCTTACTTTTAATTGTTGGTGATAGAAACCAAGCCTTGCAGCCTTATTTTCATTCTTCGTCGCAAATAAGTTTTCATTGTACCTGTGCCTAATTCTAGGTAAGCACATATGCCATCAGAGATGCAGAGGAGTACAAGAACTTCTGCGATCGCCCTAGGGACCAACGTCCGGAACCTGAAGAAGTTATTGGGGTAAACATTTGAACACATTAAGATCGGATCTCTTTTTTTTTAGTATGCTTTACTTTTGAGTATAGGCTCAGGTCTGTAACTTTATACATATGTTCTCCCTCATTCCATGTCTCTGCTGCTTAAAATAACCAAGCCAACCATGACAAACTGTTTAATATATTTCCTAGTTTGATGGTTATGCTACTGAAAAATGTTTGGAACTTACTGTTTCTGCTGGGAAGTCATTTTAATTCTACTGTCATGCACAGGACATTGCTGAACATTTGACTACCATTCATCTAAAGCGCTGTGAACGTGGGAAACGATGCTTATATGAAGGTTCAACACCTGCAGATGGATTTCCTAATTCATGGGTATCTGCTTAAGTTTTGCATCAATTTTACTGTCGAGATTCGCGTCATGATAGCCTGTGATGTTTTCTCCTTTCCTATTAATAAGTACTGCAAGTCTATTTTGCCTGTGTAGCAGAATGGTGCAACCCGCTGTACCTCCGAACTAGCTGTGTTAAAGAACAATGAGATACATGCCTGGGATAGAGGCTATGATGTTGATGGCAATCAAGTTAGTTCCATATGCTTCAAACTTGCCTTTTCCTTAAAAACCTCCTAATGATTCGTGTCTCAATTATTCATTCATTTGTTTGAGGAACCGACAGCCTCTGACAAGACATGTATTTTTTTCCAATATTACAGGTTTGGGGTGTAAAAGGAGGTCCTTATGAATTCAAGCCCGCTCCTGCTTCAAGTTTTGACGATGCATTTAATCCTTTGAGTTTTGCTTCACAACCTGTGGGGAAAAGAATATGAGGGTTCGTTTGTCCTCCAGGAGTGATTTCTTGTTATATATTCACATGTCCATACATAACAATGTAAATCATCGGGCTCATTCAACATTATGCTTAGAATCTACTATTACTTTATTGATTTGCGCATGAGAATTTTCTATTCTTGGTCTAAGAATGGTGTAGGAGTTGATCGACCGTTGGCTCAGAGCTGAATTATGTGAAAATAGTATGCAAAAATTGGAAAAAAGTTTTTGCAAAATTATTTTGGAAAACCAAATGCCACCTGGTAGGGATGTTCATTTGGATCGGATATCCGAAACCCGAACCGATCCGTTCAATTTCGGATTGGATCAGATTTCGGATTGTGTTTATTAAAATTTCGAATTTCGGATCAGACTCGGATTGGTATAATACGGTCCGATCCGATCCGAAATCCAAAATTATTAGGGCATGTATAAATACTAAACTTTAATTTCGGATAGTTAGTACTTCTTTTATATTTTTCTCCAAGTTATTACCTTTACAATTGATGGATTTAGCTATATTGGCACCATAGTACTCTCATAATTGTAGAAACATGAATTTTTCTTACTGTATTGCCTCTTTACAAAGAAAATATACATATGAGTTTGCAACTTTGAGGCATAATAATCCGATCCGAAATCCGAAAATCTGATCTGATCCAAACTTTGAATTCAAAATCCGATATGGAATGTGTTAAATCCGATCCGATCCATGCACATCCCTACCACCCAGTAAGCGTTTGGACAATTTTTGAGTTGAAGATGGTGAGTGTTTAAGTTGAAGAAAAGTCTTTTATAGATGTTCATGGGTTCAGTTTCAAGAATTGGTGTTTGCAAGAAGATTGGAATTCGCACTCACAGAAATTGGATTATTCACAGGCCACGTGGGATGTGATGTCATTTTTTACCAATATAAGAACATAATTCACGTATGAATGATTATGGATCTTTATTACTCCCTTCTGTCCATATAAGTGACTTTTTGACCTTTAACATACCACTTAAGAAAATATTAACACCTAGAAGAAGAAGAAAAAGTGTTTTGACTAACTTACCATTAATTAAAATTTGTATTTATTAACTTGACACATTGAAATATATAAATAAGGGCAAATTTGGAAAAATAAAGTTAATTTTTTCTTGGTTATGTAAAAATGTACTTATTTTGGACCAAAATAAAAAGATCAAAAAATCACTTATTATGGACCGGAGGGACTATATTTTTAAGACCACTAACTTTCAATATTGATGTAAAGCAACAACTAACTCACAAGCTTGGGAGTTTCTTCAGCAAAATCATTATTGCAGTGTATGATAAGCTGATGAACACACTAACTTCTGAATTCTGATAGTACATTATGAAAATATCATTTCCAAAAATTCCAGGACAACTCTATCTTTATTCCCCAACCTGGGCGGGCACCCAGGGCAGGGACTCCCTAATAAGTAGTGAATGCAACAGGAAAAGCCACTTTTCCAAGAATGCTTAATGGCTTAACATCTATATGTAACAAAAAAGGCAATAAGTTTCTGGCACGACTATGCAAGTAGAAATCAGTACATACCTATTTTTCACAAGACTCATGCATACAACAAACACTATAGGTCCAAAATGAATGTGTCGTCTCCCAAAACTACGTGGTAAAAATTTACACTTCGGATGAAATTCAGCAACGTTGGTACAGAAGAAATGTTTGGAGCCAGGGGCTAAGTAGTGAAAGAAATCATCTCTTGAACCATTCTCTACCAAGGTTTTAGGTCACCAACTGGACCAGCAGTCCAGTTTAAGAACTTCTCTCCGGGCTTCAAGTAAGTGCTCTTGTCGTGAGGCAGTTTACGTGCAAGTCCGTTCAAAATCTGATGAAAAGCATCACCTGATTGAGCAGGTTGTGGAAATAACATTGCCTGCTTCATTGAAGGATTGGCTAGCAATCTCTGCTTCCTCAATATTTCTTCTGGTGGAATAGAAGTGAGAATAGTGTCCAAATTCGGAACATCTTTCTCTGCTACAAACACGCCAATATCCTCCCACGGGATTGCATCAGCAAATGGCAAGACAATGTCATCTGCTATAATAACAGGGATGCAGCCAAATATAACTGCTTCAACCAATCTTGGACTCCATGGTGCCCACCCCAGTGGGCACAAGCAAAAGATAGCTCGCTGCATGTCTTCATAGTAAGTGGTTGGATGCTCTGTTGAAATATCAAAGAGAGGATTGTCTTTAAAGTTCTCCCACACTGCTGCTCGGGCACCTCTGAAGAAATAAGTAATCAGAGTTAGTTACTCTCTTTTCAGTCAACTTCTAAAGTAGTTGTGATTTCATCTAACATTTATTTAAACAATATTCATCCAACTTTTCAGAGAAAAGAGAAACAGTATAATATCAGAATAACAATTAAATAAATCAATCAACTATGCATTAATTCTAGATCCTGATAACTCTGTACTTAACTTCACATATAAATCGACTTGGTGAAGAATAGTCGGGCTTTTGTTAAGTAGCTATGTTCAGTATATTTAAGTGTTAAAGAAACTTAACCAAATGTGATTTATTCATAGGTATGAGCCTTGGTCATACCTTGCATAGTAACCACCTTCGGGGTCATTTCCGACGTCATAAAACAAGCCTCGGAAATAAACAAAGATAGATCGGGGAGTATCTGGAGGGATCAAGTGGGATTGCATTTTTTGCGGGGGAGCATATGGAGGAATTGTAATTGAGCCATCCTTCAAACAAACATGATTTCGTTGTCCAAAAGTTTGAACCAAGGTAGCACGTTGCAACAATGGAAGAATTCCCCTCTCAATAGCTTTTTCTTCCTGCAATCGCACAGAATAACACCGTGTAACCAAAACCTATTTTTCCCCGAAAGTAATGACTGAAAGTTACAGTTGAAAATAACAAAAATCAATAATCGTGAAACTAAGGGATATTTATTAGCAGCCTTTCCGTGGAGTCTATCTAATTCTGCGAATGAGTGTATGACAGTATGGGAGAGAGAGAGGGAGATGGAGAGAGAGAGAGAGAGAGAGAGAGAGAGGGGGAGAGGGGGGAGAGAGAGAGAGAGACTCACTTGATAGTGAAAACAAGCGCCAAAATCGTGGGGCGTGATGAAGAAGTGATCAGCTCCCTCTGTCCTATTCCAGTACGGCCAGTTAGAAGCAATAAGTTGTATTGCACTCCTCATCATACGTGGTGACTTAAACGGTAAGGGAAGGCCATTTGGTGTCAGGTCACAAGTGGTATAAACAGGGGTGTAAAACCAATCTGCTTCCTCAGGATTAAAGGTTCGAACAGCGCTAGATAATAGGAAACGATGCATATAGATTTCAGCAGCAAACATGTGGTTGAGGCATCGTTGGTCTTTCTGCAGAATTTTCTTGTTGTATTTGCTGGGAAGCTCATAAACAAAAACTTTTAATCTCCCAACAGGATCATCTTCCAAGACATCACCAGCACTTCCTGAATTTTGGAAATAGAAGGAAAATAAAGGAGTTGATACTTACGAGTTTTAAGCAAGTATCCTATGTCATTATACGCTAAACTATGTAAGCAAGTCAAAAGATAATGTTTATTTGCTCAGAAGAATTTGATTAGTATTTTGCATTACAGTTAAACTTATTCAGTTGGTTAAAAATATATTCTTCTTTTTCTTTTCTTTTTTTACGGCAAGCTAAAAAGATGCTCCTTTGTGATCACAAGAATGGTTCTATGGTGTCACTAATGACATTATAATTATTCACCAACAAATTATATCTTGATGCTGCAACATTTATTTATATCTGAATTTCCACTCCTTTATAATATAAAAAAATATCTGAATTTTGACTTAAATACATGTATGAAGAACCAATCTGTTCCAATGGGAGTCTGAAAACACCCCTTGGAATTTTTGACAACCCTCAAAACATTGAAATTACGGCCTGCCAAAGTCTTCAATCAAGTTCTTCATTTAGCTTAAAAGTTCAAAAGCAGAAGACCATTATACCTAGTTTCTATGTGTTGGGTGAGCGAACATAGTCCGAGGGGGAGATTGTTGGGTGAGCGAACAAAGTCCCCACATTGGTAGCTGAAAAGATTGGGAGTCTATATATAAGGTGTAGGGATCTCTTAATGGTGTGAGGCCTTTTGGGAAAACCGTGCGGGCTTGGCCCAAAGCGGACAATATCACACCATGTTAAGAGTGTCTTTGTGCTAGTTTAGCCCAACAACTGGTATCAGAGCCCAGGTTCAGCGGGACGAGTATGGAGATGCGGGGTGATGGTGCGTGGCGGCACGCACACAAGAAGAAGCTAGTTGCGGGCTTCAATTGCCATAATACTCTAACAATGTGGGTGGCACACAGTAATCTCGGAAATTGACCTGTGGATCGTGGTAATGGGCCACATGGAACTTAGTTCGAGGGGGAGATTGTTGGGTGAGCGAACATAGTCCGAGGGGGAGATTGTTGGGTGAGCGAACAAAGTCCCACATTGGTAGCTGAAAAGATTGGGAGTCTATATATAAGGTGTAGGGATCTCTTAATGGTGTGAGGCCTTTTGGGAAAACTGTACGGGCTTGGCCCAAAGCGGACAATATCACACCATGTTAAGAGTGTCTTTGGGCTAGTTTAGCCCAACACTATGAAATCACTTCTCTCTACCTAGATTTCATTATGCAAATTATCCTCCACCCTTTACTATATTCAATTGTACAATGTGCTATGAGTCAATTGTCTACATATTTAAGTTTTTTGAGATACCAGTCAAATGTGAACTCTGAAATCTGATACAAATTCAATAATGAAGCTCATGTGAAAGCTCAATGTCTATAGTCTGAAAATAAGGGGATAAACACTATAGTCCTCATTTTATTAGCTCAAGCCTCAATGTACAATTATGCATTCAATGTGCCTCTACAGAATTCTCCCACTATAGTCAAAATCAAGTGGCAGAAAATATACATGTACAATAGAATAATATGCCAATCATATCTAGATCACTACCACACTTTGACAGGCGAACTTTTAAGAAAAAATACCTCATTTATCTGTATTCAGGCTTAGCTCTAAGGTGAAAGTTGATTTTCAATCAATCTTAACGTAGATCTGGAACTAAACTTCTAAGCATAAATCAAGGATGCTCCAGGGTCAATAATTACTCAGAGACTAACATGCAGATAGATAAATAATTCAGCTAACAAAGGTCATTCATCTCCACCTCATCTTAACCTACATTCTAGCTAATTCAACCCCATGTTTTGTCTGAGACAGACTTGCAAAAGCGACATGTAGCACGGTCAGGATTTAATAACAGTATAGCGTTTAATTACCTACAGATTCTGAATCTGACTAACAGTATGAACATCATCAAAGAAGGATGCACATCTTTGGGGGCCAAAACTCATTACCTATACAGATAATGCTATTACTTAGGCAGTTAGCAACACCAACCATTACCAGACTATTTTATTCAACATACATTTACAAGTTAACCAAATGAAACAAACAACACTATCAAGATTGCTATTCCTCATCGAAATGATCTTACATGTTAAAGACTACTGTGTCCCTATAGAACTAAGAATTCAGGAACGAGGCCAGCTGAAGAAATCAATAAAGTTGCAGCCTACAAACACAAGCCTTATGCAGCAAGTAAAGCCAAATCACTAAAACCTAACTTACTTACACAGGAAATTACACATAATTTCAAGCTAAACCACAAAAATTAGCACCCAAAAGAAAATGTACCTGAGATTCTCTCAGTTTGTTCAGTCCTATGAAATTTCAAGGCTTCAATCTTCAACAAGAGAGCAAGATAAAGAAAACCAACAAAGCCCCAAGTCCAATTCCTCATTTTCTATTGTCTCCCTTTTCAGGAAACAAATCTGTAATTAAAGTAATAAGTCTAAATCGACTCAAAACAAGAAAAAGACCAGAACTTTAATGGGTATGCTCATTAACAGAAGAAAGTTTGGAACTTTTCTTTTATTAATGGGTAGGAGGAATCAATAGTTAGAATGTCATTATATGGGTTAGTTGATATTACTAATATTTTCTAGATACTGGGGTTCTTTCAAAGACAGCTAAGAAATGAGAAAAAAAATTGAAATCTTGGTGATTCTAGTCTTGCAAATGATAGAGAAATGGGATTAAGAATTTGCTTCAAGTAACAGAGA